GCCCTTTCCCTGCTCGCCCCGGGGGCCCCGGAGAGCTCCATTTTAGTAAGAATTGCCTCACCCAAATTTAGAGGGTTTAGGAAAATGGATAGAGTTTTAAAGACGTCCGACATCGTTCTGTAAATATTCCTTATTGCAGTAGCATCAGGTGTGGTGCCCTGACCAGCAGCATCAGCATCACTTGGAACTTGCCGGAAATGCAGATTATTGGACCTCACCCTCACCGGGGGCTGGGGCTCAGCAAGCGTGTTTTAACAAGTCCCCTCGGGACAGCTTAGGACGGAGAACCGTGGCCTTACCGAGGTAGAGGAACCCGTTGAGCATGGCCACTCTGGCCAGGATTGTGAAGCTTCTTCCACTCCCTTTAGGCTTCTTACTTTGGTGATCGATGCCCCTACTAGTTTGTAGAGACCATGATGGGTACTTAACATATTCATTTCATTCATGCCACACTCTTCGAAGAACCCATAATTATAGCCGTATTGAGGTTCATAGAGGTTAAGTAAGTGGCTGAGGTCTCAGGGTGGTCGAGTCTGCATTGGGCCTCGTCTGTCGACTCTCGGGCCTCGCTCTCCATGCCTCCGGCCCCCTCTGGAACTGTGCGTGCTCCGCCCCTCCCCCCTCACGCTCTGCCTCTGGTTACTGAGGATCAGGCGGGCTAAGGACCCACTTGGGTTTTGAAGGTGAAATTTCTTGATGTTCTGGAAGCAAGAAGCACTAGAAAGGAAACCTCCGAGACTTAGTTTACCTCCCTCTGTCCGATGCAGCCTGCTTCCTCTGGAAAAGAGACAGACAGGTGGTTTTTACAGCCTGCATTGCAGACCGCAAGGGTAAGCCATGCCCTGCTAACTCGAACCAGCCGGTGCCGGCATGTGGCTTCAGCCTGTCGTTCATAAAAGCCCCTGTGTGTCATCGTCTCACAAAGTGCTAAGTTGCTCCAGTGGACACTTTATTATAGGAGAAGTCGGCAGCTCCGCGGAAGGACCCGGGCCCTCCCCTCACAGACCATCTCGCCTGAGCTCCAGGTGCCACCACCCAGACGGGGAGGAGGAAACCGGATGAGAAGAAGTTTGGGGCAGGCGAAGAGGGTCCTCTATCTCCAGCAGAGTTGGTGTTGTTTTCCTTACTTCTACTTTCCTTGCTTCCTGATGCCCTGAGGTGGGCAGAGGGGACAGTCTGCAATCTCTGTGAACTCCTTGGGAGAGCCAAAGGTGTCCTCTCTCAGGATTCAGCTCCTTGCTGTGGGTCTTTGTGGGTCGGGGCAAAGCAACTCCCATCGCACGTCACTGGGCAGCAAACGACCGAGTGACGACTGGTCACCTCATCCAGTCCTGGCTGCCATGCAGGACCACACTACACCCCACAACTGAGGCCTCTTTTTGAAACATGTCACTCACACATTCCCCAGGAAGTTCTCCTTGGTGTCCAGCCTGCTGCCTCCCATGGCACTTAAGCCCTCCCCTCCTGGTTCCCACCTACTGCTTCATGGCGACGCAGACGCTGTGCCTTCGGAGTCTTGAAGACTGTATCAGCTTTTACTCCATCTTCCCTTCTCAGAGCCGAGAAACTATTTCCTTGGCATTTTGGCTTCATCGACAAAGGTTGGGGGTCAGGTGGGAAACTGGGGTCGGGGCTCTTTATCGAAGCAGAGGAGCGGGGTCACAAATCTGCTACAAGGGAATGGTTCAAACAGCCCCAGCAGGGGATGCTTGGGGTTTGGGGTTCAGATCCTGCCCCTTTGCTCCAGCCGTGTGACTGTGAAAGTCATCAAACATCTCTGACATTGAGCGTCAGCCGCCCTTGAGGCGGTCCCCTCTCAGGCGGTGGCTCTAAGTCCCTGATTGGCAAGCATATGAGGAAGGCTTTGCCAATAGCTAGCAGAAAAATCTAGATTCACATGCAGCAAGCATGCGATCTGTTTGTCTCCAGACACCTTGCGGAGGCGGCGGCCCTGCACCTAGTGGTTGTGCTGTCCAGGGTGTGACCCACAGATGTCTGAGTCAGCAAGAGGAGGAGGGGCAGCTGCCTTGGGTGTGTCCCTGCGGTCGGACATCTTCCAGCCTGTGTCTCTCAGGCCCCAGAAAGCCGTGCTGGTTTGTGGGTTGCCTCTCACTTCCCTCCCAGCCCTGGGCTTCCCCACCCATCAGCTCCATCAGCAGGTGGGATTAGGGATGGCATCTTGTGTGCTCTCTCAGGCTCCAGGCTCCAGCTCAGGTGTCCCCAGTAACAGGATAAACTTAGGGCTAACACTGAACTTAGAGCCGGGAGGCCCTCACCTTCTCATCAATAAAACAAGGTTAGTCATGACCGTGAACAAACGTGTGCACTTAAACCCCTTGTTCGCTGTCTGGTGCAGACAGACCCTTCAGACATGTCCCCAAATGGTCCAGGCCCCTTCCTGCGTTGTCCTGCCATGGAGCCGTGTCTGGCGGCTGGCTGGGGTTGGCTTCGGCCATCGCCGTGCTGCGTCGTGGCAGCGCACCACTGGAAGGAGAGGTAGGCGGTGGGAAGGGAGGACAAGGGAGGAGGGAGCATGGCCCCACCATCCCCGGAGGTGGCCGGAGCAGTGCAGAG